CTTTTCTTCCATTCTGGAAACCACATACCCATCTTTCTTCAAACGGATCATATTCATGAATTTTCTTTTTTCTGGACTCCCAGACGCATTAAAGCACCGCGATATTACTGGCAAATACTTCAGATTGTTCTTCAGAATATAATGAGTGCTTAATTTTGCTGTACTTTATGTAAATAGTTCTGTCGCCCTTTTCTACAGGGACTCCATTTATCATGATTTTTTTGTTTCCTTCTTCATTTATCTCATGGCACTGTGACGCATAAAAACTGTAAGCTCTAAAAATACTCTGTAAAAAATGCATGGATTTTGGTCTACACCAGTATAACTGTCAATCACTTGTCCTGATGTTTAAGCCAATGAGAAGTCGTTGTCCTCCACACTGTCCATGTTACTTTCTCCGTCCGTGAATAGTAACTAAGCGCTTGATTTCTGATTCTTTCTACTGCCAGACGTTCCCCAAATGTGTAATACTGTTATACATCACTCGTGCTTATCCACCTTTAACTTAGTATCAACGCTGTACTTTCCATCTCGGTAGTTCTGCCATCCCATTTTCATTTTATATGCAATGCTTTGTCCTCTGTCTTTCTTCACAGCAGTTGCCTAAAATATATTAGAGGTTTTATTAAGAACCAGTTTCATACAATTTTGGCCTTAGAGGGACATACCTTATAACTGATGTCAAACAACATAAATAATAGAATCTTTGAAAATATTATAACTTAAATTAAAAGTTTCAGCTATACATTCCCAATCATTACCGATAAAATCAGCTGTTTAAATGTATGTTGCAGTACTGTAAACCAGTCAATAATCTATGTAGAGTTGTTGCTGTACAATTAATGGGTTGTTGCAATTTATTTCAGAACGCCTTTAAATTGATAAATTGTGGTAAAATGAGGTTTCTTTCAACATAGATACTTCTTTGACATTGTATTTATTTATCATTTTACTTTCATTGAGCACAAACTTTATGTTTCGAGAATATAATCTGCTAGATGTAGGGAAAGTCCCTTTTTCTGCATCTAAAGTTTTGTTTACCAAACCTGTGGCAAGGTTTTTGCAAACTGCAGGCATTTAAAAGCACACTACTACAACCTATAAGACTGGTAATGTAAATTCCCTATGCAAATCAATGATCGATCATACTAGTAAGATGATAGTGGCCCTAAACACTCGTCTTAAAATCAAGGCTTTCTATTCAAGATTTACAGTACCTAAATCCCCAAGGGCAGCATGTCCAGCCTACTTGATTGTAATGCTTATTTTAGTACAGCATCAAAAATGGACTAGTCAATGTAGGTATAAAAAGACCGCTAAATGTTACTTTGACCTTTGAGCATGGGTCTTACTTACGGCACACCTTGTCATGGCGGTGAACAATTGTACCAAGTTCTTTTATATTCACTTAAGCCCAATTCTGACCTTTAACACCTACAATCTGTTTGCAAAAATAAATAAATAAATAAACCCGCCCAAGCCAGTCCTCGACATAAAATTAAGTGCGTGTGCGTGTCCTAGTGTGGTTCAAAACAGTTTTGCTTGTATATGAAGTCCAACTTACTTTACTTCCTTCGCAACTCGTATTCTTGCTGCCGCTTCTTGTGCCAATAATCTGTCATGGGAATGGTTTCCCGCGTCCATTTTAATAATAAGTTTTAAGTTTTAAATATTAAAAATTAAATTTTAAATATCAAGAATTAAATTTTAAATAATAAGTTTTAAGTTTTAAATATTAATTTCAAATGTCCCTCCAGGGCTTCCATAGTTAAGTCTTTAATTGAAAAACAAACAACAAGACCGTTTGTTTATATTTACTGGGTATAGATCTATATATAATTGTTGATCTTGAAACTAAAATACATAAATTTAATAACTTATTATTAACATATCAAATATCAAAATGGTGTACATTCGATATCTTTTCGGTCGTTTCCGTAAGTCTTCGGATAAGAACCTCGGGCACAGTATGAACGCCCTGTAACACCGCAAAACGTCCGTACCGCAAAACGTACGTATATTGACGTTTTGCGGCGCATATCTTCCACATTTTTGTGACATACATTTTGCGGCAAAAACTCATGGCCCTGCCGCATAACGTCCATATTTTAAAGTTTATATAATTTTCGTTAATTTTGACCAGGTATTATCAGGTGTTATTGTGTGTTAATTTTAGCTCACCTGACTCTGTGTTACCACTCTAGCATCCACATACCCTAAGATATATATCCAGAGTTATCTGCCATTGAATTACAATATCTGTTATATTGCACATTGTTTCCACTCCAAGGCTTTCATTTCTTCTTCAATCTTGACAATTTTCAACAGAATAACTACATGTATGACCTTAAAATCTAAACAAAGTTAGATTATAGGCTAAATCTAACAACAACAACAAAAAAAAACCCACAATATTTCACCTTGTTAGTGCTTTCGTTTCTTCTCCATTCTTAAAATATTTTAGACAGAATATGTATAACAATAAGGTCTCGATCAAGTTCATTTATGAGCTAAAACGACTGAATATGTCAAGAGTTATTTGCCTTTGAATAAGAAAAATAAAGACATAATTTTAAAGTCAAATTATTGAATTGTGATAAAACTGCCATTTCTTTGTTATCAATGATCAGATGTCATTCATACATTTATGAGGACGGACGTCTTGAATAGTTCAACTATAATATTGACTTTGAAATGACCTTGACCTCAAGGTCACTATTGAATTTTGCTTAAATTACCATATCTTTGTCATTTACAGATATTTGGATATCGTTTACCATTTCAGACGCAGAATTGAGTACTGATATCAGTTACCCAGATTCTGACTAAGTACACGAAATGTACTTGCTTTTTATTTGTAATATTCAATGCTATCTACCCTTGTCATGTGGAGCCTTTATAGGCAGGTGGGCGATATAAGGCCACCATGACCTTTTTAGCTTTGTTCAATTATACATAAAATTACATTGTTCAATTATAAAATCACATTATGGCATTCAAACAAAACGCTTACATTACGAAATTTTAAAATATGCTTTAGTTTTTATCAATAGAACACATTGAACTTCTTTTTCATCATTTCCTATGCGGAAGAATGTTCGTTATAATATACTCTATTACACATTATCTATGTAACTTATATGCGAAATGTTTTGTTCTTCAGGAGATAAAATAATACGGTTTTAGTAAGTGGACGGACGGCTAAAAGCATCTCAATCCCCACACACGACCCCGCGACAAAAGGTATCTTGCTCAATTAATTGAACGGTAAAACCAAACCTCCATAATCAACAAGAACACAACAAATCAGTCCCACCTTCTTCATGCAATTATATGAAAAGCTATTGTCAAAAGCAAAGCTTAATTTTAATATTTTTTGTCATTCACTCAGTCCAATCCCCGGTTCGTCAGTCCGTATAGCCGTCCTTTTCTGAATGTTTATAAGATTACATTTATTTCAATATCATCTTTTTATATCTCTGCTGCTGCTGCTTGGTTCCATTCCATAAAAAATTTATTCGAAAAACATCCTCGGCTTAAGTATATTTCTTTTTTTTTAAATAAAAAAAAGTCAAAATTATATAGGATCACAAAAATATTGCAATTTAATGTTTATTTCGTCATTGACAGAACCAATAAAAGTAACGTTTTAATGAATATATTTTAATACAGAAAATATGGACGATATGCGACGCAAAGACACACTGTCGCCGCAAAACGTACCAAGTACGATATGCACCACAAAACATCCACATGTGTACGATATGCGACGCAAAACGTCCACACGCGTACGTTTTGTGGTTCGGACGTTTTGCGGTGTTACAATTCACAGATCTCATACGAAAAGTTATAAACCTACGCTAAATCAAAGTGATGAAAGCACTGCAGTTGGGACACATGGTTGATGTTGATATTTCACAAGCTCAAAATTACCGTTTTTAAATATGCATGAAGGGTGTTGCCTGTTGGAAAATATAAGGTGACCAACTCTGCTCATGGGGGGATTCAATTAATCTATGAGATACATGTACATTGTATATATTACTTAGGTTTGGGCCATCACAAATTTTAAAATTTGGCTTTAACAAAACAACAACTTTAAAAATTGAGTGTTCATTACATGCAATGTCTTTTTCCTGTCTCGACAATAACTAAAACACCATAAGTTAGATGTTGCTGTCGACCTGTTCATTAATTGAGGATAATGATTATTTAGTCAGGAAGATAAGTGAAATAGTATTTCTGACACAAAATTCTGGCTTGACTTTCAGTGTTACCATGTGGCAGCACGGCAGCGACATGGGCTCTGCAAATTGCAGTTTAGAAGAAAATCTATAGAGAATCTTTTAAGGGTTCAAAATTAATAGCTTACAAACATTATGCCCTGACACTTGCGGCATTGGTTCCGCACATCACAATGGATGTTTGTAAGAGTTATGACCCATTAATTATCTCAATTTTTAAAGTTTGTCCGGACTTCATCTATACCACTAACGCAATTTTTATGAAATTTTACGGGATTAATTCGTAGCTCAAGTACTTGCGCATATAACACGGGCTTTTGGCTTAAACACTTTTTGCTGAGATGTGGCCCGTTGAATGAAAAAGGTGTTTTTATTTATCTGTGTTGACAGCTACACAAGAGCTTACCCGGACTACTCCTCAGAGACTACTGGTGCAATTTCATTCAAACTTTAAAGAATGATCAAAACCAAGTCTAGTTGTGCATTTCATCGGCATTTTCTGATTCGACGATTTTTGTCAGAGTTATTGCCCTTTAATGAATTTTGTTTTTAAATTCTGCCCGGACTACTACTCTTATACCACTGATGCAATTTCAATGAAACTTTACAGGACTGGTCCGTATCTCCAAGTAATTGCGCATATTAAGAAGATTAAGTAAAACAGGTAGTTCAGTGTTTGGTCTTCCGGTTAAAATAGGAAGCATTGGTCATCAGCATAACAGGGAAGGCAAATACAGGGGGAAAACGAAGACAATAAATTGTTTGACATTGACTATTTATTCCTGTCAACATGTAAAACTGAAAGCATTGCTTGCCATAGAGGAGAATTAAAAAATAACAGAAAAGTAAAGGAAAACAAAAAGAAACTAGACCTATCACTGAAGGTGATTAATACCCCCACCAGCAACTTTGAATTTTGAAAAAAAAGTAGTCTGAAGAAAAATTTGAACAAAAACTATCAACTGTGTACAAAGAAATATTTCAATTAATTGTAATCACAACTGGGGTCTTGAAATAAGCTTGCTATACACCAAGTTTGATTACAATATCTCATTCCTAACTCTAGTTAATGTCCGGAAACCATTTTTCTATTTTAAATAACACTATAACGGTGACCTTGACCCTAGGGGGTCCAAATGCAATACCAACCCAGGTCTTCATATAAGCTTCCTATACACCAAATAAGATTATAATATCTCATTCCTAACTCTAGTTATTGTCCGAAAAGCATTTTTCTATTTTTCGTAACAGTGACCTTGACCTTGACCCCAGGGGGTTCAAATGCAATACCAACCAAAGTCTTCATATAAGCTTGCTAAACACCAAGTTTGATAACAATATCTCATTCCTAACTCTAGTTAATGTCCGGAAACCATTTTTCTATTTTTAGTAACACTCTAACGGTGACCTTGACCCTAGGGGGTCCAAATGCAATACCAACCCAGGTCTTCATATAAGCTTCCTTTACACCAAATAAGATTACAATATCTCATTCCTAACTCTAGTTATTGTCCAAAAACCATTTTTCTATTTTTCCTAACGGTGACCTTGACCTTGACCCCAGGGGGTCCAAATGCAATACCAACCCAGGTCTTCATATAAGCTTGCTATATGCCAAGTTTGATAACAATATCTCATTCCTTACTCTAGTTATTGTCCGGAAACCATTTTTCTATTTTTAGTAACGGTGACCTTGACCTTGACCCCAGAGGGCCCAAATGCAATACCAACCCAGGTCTTCATATAAGCTTGCTATACACCGAGTTTGATTACAGTATCTCATTCCTAAGTCAAGTTATTGTCCGGAAACCATTTTTCTATTTTTAGTAACAGTGACCTTGACCTTGACCCCAGAGGGCCCAAATGCAATACCACCCCAGGTCTTCATATAAGCTTGCTATACGCCAAGTTTGATAACAATATCTCATTCCTAACTCTAGTTATTGTCCGGAAACCATTTTTCTATTTTTAGTAACGGTGACCTTGACCTTGACCCCAGGGGGTCCAAATGCAATACCAACCAAGGTCTTCATATAAGCTTGCTATACACCAAGTTTGATTACAGTATCTCATTCCTAAGTCAAGTTATTGTCCGGAAACCATTTTTCTATTTTTAGTAACGGTGACCTTGACCTTGACCCCAGAGAGCCCAAATGCAATACCAACCCAGGTCTTCATATAAGCTTGCTATACGCCAAGTTTGATAACAATATCTCATTCCTATCTCTAGTTATTGTCCGGAAACCATTTTTCTAATTTTAGTAACGGTGACCTTGACCTTGACCCCAGGGGGTCCAAATGCAATACCAACTGGAGTTTCCACATAAGGTTGCTATATACCAAGTTTGATTACAATATCTCATTCCAAACTCTAGTTATCGTCCGGAAACCATGATGTGGACCGACCGACGGACCGACCGACCAACCGACCGACCGACCGACAAGCTGACTCCTATATACCCCCCTAAACTTCGTTTGTGGGGGTATAATAAATAACTAAATAATCAAATCTCAAACGAAAGCATTATCACAGACAAAAAGATTTTTAACATTTATCATGTTAGGTGAAAGGATAAATAATAATCACATAAATGTATACAAAATCTTTGATCATCAATGTAGATTACTTCTGCACGTTTTTGCATTATTAATCATCATTAGCATCATAACTCGGGAATAGAAAATAACTACAAAACAATTATGCATTAAAAGTGCAGAACGACAAGGGATAAAAAACTGATGATAAAAAATCAGGCTAAGTACGCCCAACACCGGTGGTATTCTTTTTTTTTTTGTTAAAAGCAAACATTCGGTGGAATTCAGTTTTCTGTACATGAAGTATTTGATAAAATGAAACAATACAAAAACAGTAAATTAAATGATCATATTAATCGACGATATATACAAATACAAGAACAGAAAATCAGTTGACATGCAAGTCTTTTGTGTGTTCAATAAAATTTAAGTGAGAAACTTTCGCTCCCTTTAAAGCAGTGAAAATAAAAGCAAATAGTTTCTAAGTATTATCAAATCTATTCACTAAAGAATGTGAAACATCTAGCACAATTTTAGAAACGACATATATGCTGTATTCATTTCTCAAAACTACTATTATTGAAATCATTTATCTCGAAGGATCAGGGAAAGATAAAATTACTGTTGCATGTCCCAAAGTATTGAGCCAATGATTTTGAACGACCAAAATAATACATTTTCAATGATGCAACTTTTAACAGCTGCCACGAAACATTTAACACATTCTGCTATGAGTCAGAATGTAATATTCTAGAAAAAAGAAAACTAGTAAGCATGAAACACACTCCGCAAAACAGTCAACCTACGTTTTTTTCTATAATCAGTTCCATCAGTAACCTTCGTCTGAACATTTAAAAAAATCAGTTGATATTGCAAATTTATCTTAAATCTTACTTGTCAAAGCAAGCTGATTTTATTTGAATGAGTAAAAGTAAACTGTGTATCACATATCAATAGGTTTCAGACAAACCAAAACACTTACTTTCCTTTATTGCTTCAAAGGATGAAACCGAATGCAAACAAATGAAATATAATAATACTGAAAATGATATATTCATAATTATGATCCATTTATAGGGTGACTTCACACAACAAAAGTAAAATACAAAAATATACAATTTAAGCAAAAAGCAACAAATTACAAAATAGATCACGGTTAATCATGAGATCAAGAAATCAACACTTTTAGGGTCATCATGACCTTGTTGTACATTAATCTTTAATCTACATGGCCAACATTCGACAAATGGACGTTATTTCATAAATATTAAGAACAATGACATCAAAATAATATGATTTCGCAATAACAAGGTTATAGTGTAACCAATCTGAAGGGGAAGTACAAACTGACCTGCCTCTACCAAAGTCATAATGACGCCTAAAGTCTAAATGATTTATAGCACTATCAGATTCAAATCGCTACATAAAGACCATGTTACAACTAAGCCCTTCATAGTTACAAGTAACAGCGATACGGCACATATTCACATACTATTTCAGAAAAGAACATTACTTTATTCAATATGGAATCAACAATATCGAATACAATTAACAACAACATTGCGAGAAAAACACAAACAAAATTTACCAATATAATACATTTTAAAATGTGATGCAAGTTATACTTACACATTGCAATTATTTTACACAAACATTAAAAAAATGACACTATGGCAGATTAAGCCTGCGCCTCTATGAAGCTTATGATGACTACGGCGTGACATGTGAATGATATTGTGAGCTATAATTAATTTAATATTATGAAAATATCCAACTCAAGCTGTTATTAACATTTCAGCGAGTTGTGACGTCAATGACATTTGAGTACTGTATACATTTTAAGGAAATTCACAACAATCAATGATTTCTTACAATGATAACGAAATGACAACTTTACAAATAGAAACAATCAAAAATGGCACTCGTAAGTCTAAAACATTAATAACAAATAAAAAAACAAAACAAATATCTATGATGAAAAATAAGGCAAATGTTGATCGATAACTTCTGATTTACGAACTTTCAAACATTAATGGCCACACAGCAAATTCATCAAATTTATGTAGGCTAAGATGTGATGAAATTAAAAGTTATCTTAAAATTTGATGCAAAAGAAATACACTATCCTACGTGACTTGTGATATAATCTACAGGATTAAAACTATGAATATATTTCAAGAAGTGAAATGTAAGGTGTATTCATTTTTTAAGTGCTACCTTACTCATGCAACCAAAAGTTATATACAGAAATATGTAGGTGGTTCAATTAAACAATATTAACTATAATATATATGACTTGTGAAACCACATGGCAAAATATACAGGCATATCACCGGTTTTTTAATACAAAGTAAAAGCATAATCAAATGACTTAATGACTTTATCAGTACAGATGACTCTAAGAAACAAATAAATACAGATCACAACACATACTCAAATTAAACCTCTGGTACAAAATCGCACAAATATCAAAGTTAATTATATACAAGTATAGATATTTACAACATTTAACAATCTTTACAATAATGATGAAATAAAAAGAAACGGATTAAATTCTGCTTCAAGTATTGATCCTGCTGATAGGAACCAATTTGATGTTGTCTTACGCTTGTTTATCTGCCACATAGGTCGCCATTGTCTACGGTTGCATCTCATCTCTACAAAGACAAGGTGTAAATGTTATTAATTCATAAATCGGCATTATTTAAACACAGTTGTGTATAGTAGAATTTATAAAGACAAGTTTAAATAGCTATTATATACATGAAGATACTTTTCTCATCATTCTGTAATTTAAAGACCCATAATCCCAAGAAATGAAAAGCTTTTATTTCTTAAAAGTTTTTTTATTGTAAGTGTCCTGTTTGTGTTTCCAAAAAGTTACTCATTGGCAACTTACCAGAACCATATTTTACTTCTGTCGCTTTTTGACAACAATTACAGTAAAAGTGATTGAGCTGGGCACTTTATTGATAAATAATATCACATTAAGCATACTTTATTAAGATGTTAAACATCTAACTTAAAGATGCTTTGAAACAATTATATAAACGTTATAAAAATGATGTTTCTAATATAATGAGCTTTTACATTAAATTTTATCATTTAAAAATTACCGTCTGTGTAAATTTGGTAGTTAAACATAATTATGTATTAAATTTGATAAAATGAGCTAGTGTTGAATCTTCATTATCATTTGTATTAGGGCTAAACACTGATGTGTATTTTAAATGAACAAATGAGTTTGAGAATCAGAAACTTAATATAAATATCAAAGAAACTTTATTTTCATTTCTTAATTTACATGGCAAATATTAAATAATTATATTTCTAGGTTACTTTGAAAGTGTATGTATGCAGATCTTACCGGACGAAGATTAAATCCGGGGCTCCATATATCATGTTCATCAAACTCTGCGTCAAAATCACCTTCATAAGATGTAGCTTTCCCCTTTTCAAATATGGACTCTCCATATCTCTTATACGTTTGCTCTTGGGCTTCTTCCATAATCTGCTGACGAGTTTTTCGTATATTTCTCGGCGGGAATTCTTCGGGAGTCTTTATACACCCTCTCTGCTCATAATGATAAATTAATCTTTTCCAAATGTAGTCACATGCAAGCAAATTCCTATTACCTGAAACATAAGAAAAGAACTATATAAGAATCCATTCTTTCCAGTGATAGAACATTTTCATTTATTGATACATGTTAATCATTGATTGTCCATTTAAAAATTATTCATTTCGAATTAAACTTGTAATTATAAACATTTTCATGACAGACAATTTGTTTCTCAACTCACTCAAAAGCAATTCATTATCTCTATAAATTAGGAAAGAAAGACATACTATCTTTTGGGTTTAATCAAATACCATACTTTATCAAACAAATAATTTTCACATTTCATAAATCATACCTGCATATGTAGATGAACGTAAGGTGTGACATGGTTTTAGGTCTAGTTTATAATTTTATAATTTAGAAGCTTTACTTAAATTAGAAGTAATACATCATAACAGAAATAATTATGCTTATATTATTGTAAGAAACAACACAGTTAACAAGTTAACAATCTCTATCAATTATATATACCTATTATAATAAGCCCTTTCTTGGCTCTTGTTATTGCCACATTGACTTGATTTCTGTCTGTTATAAATCCCAAATTATGTTTACACCATCCAAGAGTAGGATTTTTCTCTATCTTGTAATCTGGTAATGACCGAACGGAGCTAAATATTACGTAATCCCATTCGCCTCCTGTAATATCACATGAATAAAAATAAAAAATATTTCCTAATTTAAGACAAACAGATTTCGTCAGTGATAGAAAACGTCATGTTAAAAGATACATTTATCAACATGAAAACAAATAGTGATCTATTGAAAATATTGCAGATGTTATATGCGAAATATATTGTCAACATCGGAATTATAGATATCAGGTTTTAACTTTTCAAAACCGCGCTTTTACAAAGAGATTATTTGAATTAAAGGTCACATTGACCTCGACTTCGATTTTGTGAACCAAAATTTCCTATGGCCGAAAGAACTCGTCAATATGCATCCACATATCAAATTTCAAAGTCATAATCATATGTATAAACCATGTATAAACAGAAACTTCATAAAACAGACCTTTGTGACCTAAACTTTAAAATGAGCATGGCAAGTAAGACTCTTTCACATACAAAGTTTGAAATTTTTAGGCAATGCACTTTTGCTTTAATTTCAGATTAATATCTATTACAATATGTCTCTTTGACATTGAATGGGTGTGGCAGGTATAACTCATCAAGGGGTATTCACATTTTAAGCTCACGTGTACAAGGCTCATAAATATTGACGTTCATGACCATAAACAAAAACTCTACCAAATGTTAATCAAAAAGGTTCAACCAACACCGATGCAACCGAGAGGGTCATGTCAATAGTTTCGCATTTTCTTTGAAACTTTAACAAGCGACATAACGAATTTCGTCTACAAACAAACCTTGACTTGAAACAACTGTGCTAACAAGGTCATCTGCTTTTGCTTCACCATCCTTTAAAAGCCTTCTCTTAATCTCAGAACACTGAGCATTATACTGAGACAAAATCTGGATCTTTTCGTTTGGGACATCTCTCCTCAAGTAGTTGTATGTCGTTATCTGCAAAATGTTTAATTGTTTCGTAACGACTTATTAAAAACAACAATTATTATATACAATGTTATTTCTGTTTCAAATCAAAATTAATTGCATTACTCGTTACAACCATTTTGACAACAAATAAATAAATTACCAAAAACCAAGTGCTTATATCAAAGGAGATTATACTCAATTCAAGTTTTATTTAATTGTACCAGCTCAAACTTATATCATCAACTGTATTAAAAAAGTCTGTTTAGTCATCAATAATTTTATGTGAACGACTTGGGTTCAATTGTTTGCATGTAATGAGATAAATGTAAAACAATTCTTGCTGCAAAATAATCAAATTACCGCTATAAAACTAACAGAAAATGATTTTCAC